GGTAGAGACATATAAATCTGTTTATAAGTATACACTGAGTCCCCCCACTGTACTACCTTCATTGCGGTACAGTGAGAGGTCCACCCACATTATTGAGACCCATTAGTCTGGTAGAGACATATAAATCTGTTTATAAGTATACACTTATCCCCCCACTGTACTACCTTCATTGCGAGACAGTCAAATAAACCTAGATAGACCCATTAGTAGAGACATATATTTAGAGAGGTCACATAAAACAGATGGGTAATTTCAACATTTAGAGAGGTCACATAAACAGATAGGTAATTTCATCATTTAGAGAGGTCAAATAAAGAGATAGGTAATTTCATCATTTAGAGAAGTCAAATAAACAGATAGGTAATTTCATCATTGAGAGAAGTCAAATAAACAGATAGGTAATTTCATCATTGAGAGAAGTCAAATAAAGAGATAGGTAATTTCATCATTGAGAGAAGTCAAATAAAGAGATAGGTAATTTCATCATTTAGAGAAGTCAAATAAAGAGATAGGTAATTTCATCATTGAGAGAAGTCAAATAAACAGATAGGTAATTTCAACATTTAGAGAGGTCAAATAAACAGATAGGTAATTTCAACATTTAGAGAGGTCAAATAAAGAGATAGGTAATTTCAACATTTAGAGAGGTCAAATAAAGAGATGGGTAATTTCAACATTTAGAGAGGTCAAATAAACAGATAGGTAATTTCAACATTTAGAGAGGTCACATAAACAGATAGGTAATTTCAACATTTAGAGAGGTCAAATAAAGAGATGGGTAATTTCAACATTTAGAGAGGTCACATAAACAGATAGGTAATTTCAACATTTAGAGAGGTCAAATAAAGAGATAGGTAATTTCATCATTTAGAGAGGTCACATAAACAGATAGGTAATTTCATCATTGAGAGAGGTCACATAAACAGATAGGTAATTTCAACATTTAGAGAGGTCAAATAAAGAGATAGGTAATTTCATCATTTAGAGAGGTCACATAAACAGATAGGTAATTTCATCATTGAGAGAGGTCACATAAACAGATAGGTAATTTCATCATTTAGAGAAGTCAAATAAAGAGATAGGTAATTTCGTCATTGAGAGAAGTCAAATAAACAGATAGGTAATTTCAACATTGAGAGAGGTCAAATAAACAGATAGGTAATTTCAACATTTAGAGAGGTCACATAAACAGATAGGTAATTTCAACATTTAGAGAGGTCAAATAAAGAGATAGGTAATTTCAACATTTAGAGAGGTCACATAAACAGATAGGTAATTTCAACATTTAGAGAGGTCAAATAAAGAGATAGGTAATTTCATCATTTAGAGAGGTCACATAAACAGATAGGTAATTTCATCATTGAGAGAGGTCACATAAACAGATAGGTAATTTCATCATTGAGAGAAGTCACATAAACAGATGGGTAATTTCAACATTTAGAGAGGTCACATAAACAGATAGGTAATTTCATCATTGAGAGAAGTCAAATAAACAGATGGGTAATTTCAACATTTAGAGAGGTCACATAAACAGATAGGTAATTTCATCATTGAGAGAAGTCAAATAAACAGATGGGTAATTTCAACATTTAGAAAGGTCAAATAAAGATATAGGTAATTTCATCATCGAGAGAAGTCACATAAACAGATAGGTAATTTCAACATTTAGAGAGGTCACAAAAACAGATAGGTAATTTCATCATTTAGAGAAGTCATATAAACAGATAGGTAATTTCAACATTTAGAGAGGTCACATAAACAGATAGTTAATTTCATCATTTAGAGAAGTCAAATAAACAAATGTGTAATTTCATCATTGCCAGAAGCCACACATAAACAGATAGGTAATTTCATCACTGAGAGAAGTCAAATAAACAGATGGGTAATTTCATCATTGCCAGAAGCCAAACATAAACAGATGGGTAATTTCATCATTGCCAGAAGCCACACATAAACAGATAGGTAATTTCATCATTGAGAGAAGTCAAATAAACAGATGGGTAATTTCATCATTGCCAGAAGCCACACATAAACAGATGGGTAATTTCATCATTGCCAGAAGCCACACATAAACAGGTGGGTAATTTCATCATTGCCAGAAGCCACACATAAACAGATAGGTAATTTCATCATTGCCAGAAGCCACACATAAATAGATGGATAATTTCATCATCGAGAGACATCACATAAACAGATGGGTAATTTCATCATTGAGAGAGGTCACATAAACAGATAGGTAATTAACTGATTTCCAGCCTCTGTTAATGCCTCTCACTAAATTGCTTTACATATATTTGCTTTACTGGGAGCAGAATCCGTCATTTGATGATTCGTGAATGAATCACTAAAGTATATGTTCAAATGTATTACAATGAGTTCACTTGTGTTGCAGTGTACTGTCATGTCTTCATGTACCCTGTAACGTGTTGACTTGATTTACAATTTGTTGCCATGTGTCCAAGTGTGTTGACATGTGTTCAAGTGGGTTGACATGTGTTCAAGTGTGTTTCCATGTGTTCAAGTGTGTTGATATGTGTTCAAGTGTTGACATGCGTTCATATGTGTTCAAGTGTGTTGACATGTGTCCAAGTGTGTTCATATGTGTTCAAGTGTTGACATGCGTTCATATGTGTTCAAGTGTGTTCAAGTGTGTTTCCATGTGTTCAAGTGTGTTGACATGTGTTCAAGTGTGTTGTCATGTGTTCAAGTGTGTTTTCATGTGTTCAAGTGTGTTTCCATGTGTTCAAGTGTGTTGACATGTGTTCAAGTGTGTTGTCATGTGTTCAAGTGTGTTGACATGTGTTCAAGTGTGTTGACATGTGTTCAAGTGTGTTGACATGTGTTCAAGTGTGTTGTCATGTGTTCAAGTGTGTTTTCATGTGTTCAAGTGTGCTGACATGTGTTCAAGTGTGTTGACATGTGTTCAAGTGTGTTGTCATGTGTTCAAGTGTGCTGACATGTGTTCACGTACATGTCAGCGTATCCCCGTGTCACTCACGGTCACACCCAGGTGTTGTGTCGGGTGTTCACGGTCCTGTGTTGACGTAGTGTTAGTGTGCCATGCTGGTCACAGACATAACATCGTACAGTAAAGACAGCTACACATACTGTACTTTGCTCATCACACGCTGGGGGTTATTGCCTTTGTTTGGAGAACCGTTACATCTACACTTTGATGTGAATGCATGTTACATTAGGTTTTGTGTGTCAATGGTGACGAATGTCACTGTGACCACGGGGAGCTACCACATGCACCTGTGCACCTGATGTCGTGTTCTATAACACCCGACCGTGCACATACGTTTTTCTGACGTAGTGGTATACACTGACAATGATTTCACAAGTTTCCATATAGCCATTTTATGTTCAAGGTGTGATTTGATTGTAAGTTATGTCATTTCTGATACGTGTTAGACCAAAACAGCCTTTGCATCCGTGTTTTAACCCAGTTACGGCCCTGCTTGTAGGTAATCTTCCCGATCTCGCCACAGTGAGTCGACACACGTACACGAACCAGCTATATAGACGGCCACTGTCAAAACACCGTCGGAACACTTCAAACATTTCACAAATATCAAACTTCAAACAAACACCCGGTTGCACGCGCGAGTTAAATCTAAGACTAGGCCTACGTTCCTGGTAGAACTTGGATTAACCCTCCCCTTTAACTCAAGGAATTCTTCCAGTAGACGTATTCAACTGGTCTATCATTCATATTCACAAAGCACATGCGACGTATATATTTATGCCAATAATGGTTGTCACCCCCCTCCCCACTCCAACCCCACACACACCTCACACCCCCACCCCACACCCCCTCTCCAATTAAAAAAATTGAAGGGGGTGACAACCATTATTGGCATGAGTATATATTTTGTCTGTAGATGGATATGCTAATAACCCGTCTTTATTTGGTTGACAATACATCTTGGTACTTGAAGTAATGCATTTACGTAGGGCAGCATCACCATCACAATGTGCGTCGTGTTTAATGTCCGTGACGGTCGGGGTAGGTGTTATGAAAGCAGGCCACGTGACCAAAGGGGGCGTGTCTCCCGCTGCTTATTTATAACCAGTTTAACGGGTTTGGCAAAAATTACAGATCGATTCTCGATCTTGTTTTCTTTTGGTATTCATGGATCAAAAATACATATGTACAAATCATTTCCAGCTCAAGGACATGGTCTGAGAAGACGCAGTAGGAACAGATACACACGTACCAGATCTGTATACATGTCACCGTCTTAGTTTGCTAAGTAAATAGCCTAGAAACTTCTATAGCTTTATGTATTATATAGGAAACTTAGTAAGGCCGTATGCATAGGGAACTATAATCGTATGTGTAGTGAACAGGGTAGAGTTCGAATCCCGGATGGGTCTCAACTCTAAAAAGTAATAGAATTTGTACTTTACTAAGAAAGTGTAATCCCAAAATATAACATATGTTACGTAGTAATGTAGTATGGTATATATTGGAAACGTAGTAATGTAGTATGTTATATATGGGAAACGTAGTAATGTAGTATGGTATATATGGGAAACGTAATAATGTAGTATGGTATATATGGGAAACGTAGTAATGTATTATGTTATATATGGGAAACGTAGTAAAGCGGTCCGCAAGATATGGGAAACGTAATATACTTCTATGTAATATATGGGAAGCGTAGTATAGCTTTATGTAATATACCAGAATGTGTGTGTGCGCGCGCGTGTGTATGCGTTTGTGTGCATATTCAAAAGTGTGGGCTTGTTGCACAATAATGGTTGATTTGTTACCCCGTCTTACTATGACTACATTATAATGCTGTTATATTGATATCTCGATAGATATACTTGGTTTCCCTACTAGGGCAAGGGTGTAGCTTGTGTCTCCGGGATTCCCGTTTTTTCGGATGGCTAAGTGCATCTTAATAACACTCACCAACAACACCGTCAACGTCACTATAGGATCGATGTTGTGTAGAACACGTACAAACATAAGGAACAGCGCCACCTACCTGAATCGCAGTCTTCCTCCAATCCAACCAATCTGTTCTCACAGAGAATGTAAAGAAGGCATTAGTCCAAAAATCCACGTGAGTTTTCCTTAGGGCATCTTCAAAGTCGTACGTGCTCTCATTCCACGTCCCGATGGCGTACCAGCCGCCGGCCTTCGCCACGATCTGGTCAAGGAAGGGGTTTCCCTGCAGGCCCATCTTACCGTAATGGTCAGTGCATGATGCGAAGAAGTCCTTCAGTTTCTTTTCTGACGCCCAAGACGATGTCCTGCTACTCGGGGTTTCAATCAGACGTCGCAGTTTTTCCTGATTTTTGTAGTAGATGTTCCACGCAGGAGTTAACTGAGACACATCTGGCTTCAGGGGGTTCTTCAGGGCCCACGTCCCGCATGCATATTGGTAAAAGTTATCACAGGGGTCCACCTTGTTGTTCATACTCTCAAGAGCATAGGCCGCACTCTTCATGCACGTGGGGGTCAGGCACAACCCCTCTGTCTGGCCACCCAGTACCCCGGGGGCCACAAGACCTGCCGCAGTCCCTCCCTCTCCCCCACCCGATTTGGCCGAGGCGAGCAAAGCAGCCAAGATGACACAGACCAGGAGCGCCACCAATGCCACTCCACCTAACGCAATCTCTCGCTTCTTGAACGAATAGCCATGGATGGACACGGCATCGTCCACGATGGGAGATTTGTCGAATTCTTTGTAGTTGTCAGCCATGGTAAGTGAGAGAGTAATACACCGTAGACGGAGCAACGTTCACACACCTCCTTGTTAAGCAGAGGGTGCGAGACTTCTGAGACCAGGTAACGAGCCACGGGCTTATAAAGCTGTCAGTGGTCGCAAGCCAGGCTCGACGGCTGAGCTCACTGAGCTGGGACAGCCTGGTCGTCATTATTTATGCGCTGTTGCATGCATGTGTACTCGACCCTAGCTTCGCCCTATTGAGCAGAACCATTCACTGATCAGTAACAATCGGGTGGTGAGTAAACAGGGTGATAACTGTGCCCAGCAGGGCACTATGGGGGCAGCGTTGTCGGCCCTGGGGCAGGTATTCTCCACCTGGTCAACTCGGAGAACAATACTGTGTAAATACGGCGTAGCTTATATCTGTTCACCAACTGTTGTGGCTACAGTCTGTATGATTTCCAGTGATTCAGTAACATCATTTCCACTGTTTCTATTCCTGTTTTGCTTGATAATCGAGACTTGACAATCATCTGGCGATATATTTACCGTTTGTGTACGCTATATATAGCCACTGTAATGGCGATAAAAACAAATTCAAATGATGGTTTGACGGACGTTTGATAAAAGCTCACACAGAAATTAATGCTGAACCATGACCTATGGTGCATATAGTTACAGAAAATAACTAACAACCACCCGAATTGGGGATTTGGACATCATGCATTTTATGTTTCCGCTGCACACAATGAAAAAAGCTGCCTTGAAATAGTACACTGTTAACAGATAAGATGCATTTCCAGGCTACGTAAATAAATTAACTCCTAGTTCTCTCCATCAAAGGTTTGTTTGCCTGATAAAACTTGTATTCTATTTCAGTGTCAAACGTCCGTTTAATTCAATTAATTTTAATCGACTTACGCCAGTTCTGGGGCACACCGCTTACGTTGTCGTCGAGGTGTAGCATACACAGCTGAGCGTGTCACTTATCTTACACCAACAGTACGTGCAGCTTAAACCAACAATTAAGGTCGCTTTCTCTAAATTTCGTAATCCTTTTTAATCCTTAATAACGTATCATGTTTTAGTGTCTACAACTTCCGCAATACATACATGTAGGTAACACAGCGCCTCATTTAAATGTAGAACGTCTTCCATTAGGGCCTGCTTGAAGCACTATTGCATATAGAAGGTGACAACACCGCCGGTTTGTGCATGCAAAGGTTGGTTACTTGTGTGCAGGTAGGGCATAGGCAGCTAGCCGACTTCACTGTGAGTTAATCGCGGTCAGATCTGTGTAGGGTGTGAGTAAACAGGGCTGTGTGGTGTTGTCATACAATCAGCACGTAGATCAGTCATCAGTTAAACTGTGCCTAACCACAGGTGAACTATATATAATATTCAACCAATATAAAGTATTTGTGTTTAGTTCTAACTTCACAGATGCACTGTTTGTTACCTAATGTAATCTTTTGAAGTGAGTTCGGATCCCAGGTCGGTAACTTTGGTCTCGGTAACTAACATGTACTCCCTGGCTGGATCACCGAGTTTCCCATCTTGAATCCCACATAGTGCTAACCTACCGCCCTGGCTGGATCACCGAGTTTCCCATCTTGAATCCCACATAGTGCTAGCCTACCGCCCTGGCTGGATCACCGAGTTTCCCATCTTGAATCCCACATAGTGCTAACCTACCACCCTGGCTGGATCACCGAGTTTCCCATCTTGAATCCCACATAGTGCTAGCCTACCACCCTGGCTGGATCACCGAGTTTCCCATCTTGAATCCCACATAGTGCTAACCTACCACCCTGGCTGGATCACCGAGTTTCCCATCTTGAATCCCACATAGTGCTAACCTACCACCCTGGCTGGATCACCGAGTTTCCCATCTTGAATCCCACATAGTGCTAACCTACCGCCCTGGCTGGATCACCGAGTTTCCCATCTTGAATCCCACATAGTGCTAGCCTATCACCCTGGCTGGATCACCGAGTTTCCCATCTTGAATCCCACATAGTGCTAACCTACCGCCCTGGCTGGATCACCGAGTTTCCCATCTTGAATCCCACATAGTGCTAACCTACCACCCTGGCTGGATCACCGAGTTTCCCATCTTGAATCCCACATAGTGCTAACCTACCACCCTGGCTGGATCACCGAGTTTCCCATCTTGAATCCCACATAGTGCTAACCTACCACCCTGGCTGGATCACCGAGTTTCCCATCTTGAATCCCACATAGTGCTAGCCTACCGCCCTGGCTGGATCACCGAGTTTCCCATCTTGAATCCCACATAGTGCTAACCTACCACCCTGGCTGGATCACCGAGTTTCCCATCTTGAATCCCACATAGTGCTAACCTACCGCCCTGGCTGGATCACCGAGTTTCCCATCTTGAATCCCATAGTGCTAACCTATCACCCTGGCTGGATCACCGAGTTTCCCATCTTGAATCCCACATAGTGCTAGCCTACCGCCCTGGCTGGATCACCGAGTTTCCCATCTTGAATCCCACATAGTGCTAGCCTACCACCCTGGCTGGATCACCGAGTTTCCCATCTTGAATCCCACATAGTGCTAGCCTATCACCCTGGCTGGATCACCGAGTTTCCCATCTTGAATCCCACATAGTGCTAACCCGAGTACCGCCCTGGCTGGATCACCGAGTTTCCCATCTTGAATCCCACATAGTGCTAGCCTACCACCCTGGCTGGATCACCGAGTTTCCATCTTGAATCCCACATAGTGCTAACCTACCACCCTGGCTGGATCACCGAGTTTCCCATCTTGAATCCCACATAGTGCTAACCTACCGCCCTGGCTGGATCACCGAGTTTCCCATCTTGAATCCCACATAGTGCTAACCTACCGCCCTGGCTGGATCACCGAGTTTCCCATCTTGAATCCCACATAGTGCTAGCCTACCACCCTGGCTGGATCACCGAGTTTCCCATCTTGAATCCCACATAGTGCTAGCCTACCACCCTGGCTGGATCACCGAGTTTCCCATCTTGAATCCCACATAGTGCTAACCTACCGCCCTGGCTGGATCACCGAGTTTCCCATCTTGAATCCCACATAGTGCTAACCTACCATCCTGGCTGGATCACCGAGTTTCGCATCTTGAATCCCACATAGTGCTAGCCTACCATCCTGGCTGGATCACCGAGTTTCGCATCTTGAATCCCACATAGTGCTAACCTACCGCCCTGGCTGGATCACCGAGTTTCCCATCTTGAATCCCACATAGTGCTAGCCTACCACCCTGGCTGGATCACCGAGTTTCCCATCTTGAATCCCACATAGTGCTAACCTACCGCCCTGGCTGGATCACCGAGTTTCCCATCTTGAATCCCACATAGTGTTAACCTACCGCCCTGGCTGGATCACCGAGTTTCCCATCTTGAATCCCACATAGTGCTAACCTACCGCCCTGGCTGGATCACCGAGTTTCCCATCTTGAATCCCACATAGTGCTAATCTACCGCCCTGGCTGGATCACCGAGTTTCCCATCTTGAATCCCACATAGTGCTAACCTACCGCCCTGGCTGGATCACCGAGTTTCCATCTTGAATCCCACATAGTGCTTACTTACCGCCCTGGCTGGATCACCGAGTTTCCCATCTTGAATCCCACATAGTGCTTACTTACCGCCCTGGCTGGATCACCGAGTTTCCCATCTTGAATCCCACATAGTGCTTATCACCAGCCCAGGCTGGATCACCGAGTTTCCCATCTTGAATCACCACATAGTGCTTGAATCACCATACACCCACTGGCTGGATTGCATTTCACACATCACACTGTGCTACAGATATCTGTGGATCACCGAGTTCCATGAGACGGGCATGTCTGGAGCAAGGTGACTGAGTTTAGTTTTTACGCCGCACTCAGCAATATTCACGCTGTATGGCGGCAGTCTGTAAATAATCGGATCTGGACCAGATAATCCAGGGATCAACAGCATGAACATCACTCTACGCAGTTGGGATACGATGACATGTGTCAATCAAGTCAGCGAGCCTGACCACCCGATCCCGTTAGTCGCCTCTTACGACACGGATGGGTTACTGAAGATCCATTCTAACCTGGATCTTCACGGATCTGGAGCAGGGAAGGGTTTAGCGAGGTCGACCCACTGCCTGACCCAAACATGATCCAAACCACATTGTGTGGCGTTCATTACAACTTCACTGCAGATTATTAACGAGAAGGGCGTTTGCATGTAAGCATCCTGCATATAATGATGTCCCCGTAGGTTCATCTTAACTTGAAAACTCTGCATCCTTCATAGAGATCCGCCACGGATCATGTGGTGATAGCATGGTGCAGTGATAGATGATGACAAGATAGAAGATAGTAACGTGTTGACCAATTCCACCATGGATGTACGAATGACACTAGCCAAGTACACCCGCATGGAGTTGTTTGAGTAGATTGTGGCACGACACAGCTGAAGTAACAAATGGTGGACTGAACACATGACAGTGTTCATGGAGAATTACTTGGAAAGACGCCACAGATATCTACAGTTCTACCACACTTGTCTGACAACAGATATCTACAGTTCTACCACAACTGTCTGACAACAGATATCTACAGTTCTACCACCCTTGTCTGACAACAGATATCTACAGTTCTACCACACTGACAACAGATATCTACGGTTCTATCACACTTGTCTGACAATAGATATCTACAGTTATACCACACTTGTCTGACAACAGATATCTACAGTTTTACCACACTTGTCTGACAACAGATATCTACAGTTCTACCACACTTGTCTGACAACAGATATCTACAGTTTTGCCACACTTGTCTGACAACAGATATCTACAGTTCTATCACACTTGTCTGACAACAGATATCTACAGTTCTACCACACTTCTCTGACAACAGATATCTACAGTTCTACCACACTTGTCTGACAACAGATATCTACAGTTCTACCACACTTATCTGACAACAGATATCTACAGTTTTACCACACTTGTCTGACAACAGATATCTACGGTTCTACCACACTTGTCTGACAAACAGATATCTACAGTTCTACCACACTTGTCTGACAACAGATATCTACAGTTCTACCACACTTGTCTGACAACAGATATCTA